AGGAAAGAGAAAGAAAGATAAATGGAAGGGGTAGGCTTATGTTAGGTCACGTTTGTTAGAAAGATTAGAGCATTTGAGTATATACTGTGAAAGGGAAGAGTCCACAGCAACAAAGCCAGGACTCAAGTTCATGTTGGGTACATTGTGTATTAGAGCCGATTCAACAAGACGGCGTCTGTGTAGAGGCAAGAAAGATTATTTTGGAGGAAGACCAATCAATGGGATGATTAGAATCTCTCTCATGGCAGAGCATTGAGCATTGTTAGTGTCTGCAGACTTAACACTTCTCTTGTGTTCTTTAAGTCTGTCATTCAGTGTACGGCCAGTTTTGCCAAAGTATTGGAGAGGACAAGACGAACAGGAAATAGAGTAGACACTAGCAGCATTAGAAGCAGGAGGAGCAGTGTGAACTAGATTGCTACGAAGTGTGTTAGTTTGTCGAAAGGCGAGTTTAATGTCAAGAGGACGAAAGGTATTGGCAAAAGTTTTGAGTTCAGATATGAAGGGAAGGCATAGTACAGTGCTATTAGTGTTAGAAGTAGGTTTAGGATGAAAGAAATTTCGTTTAGCTTGAGAGTAGGCACAGTTGATGAAATGCAAAGGGTAACCAAGGCGAGAGAAGGATTTGTAGATAAAGGCAATTTCAGAATCAAGAAATTGAGGGTCACTGATGCGTAGAGCGCGGAGGAAGAGAGAGACGAGGACACTTTTCTTAACAGAAGGAGGATGGTAGGAAAAGAAGTGAATGTACATGCCACTATGCATGGGTTTACGGTAGACTTTAGAATCCATAGAGAATCTAAGAATCCATAGAGAACAAGAATGGGACTTGTTAGGGAGAAGGAGACATGGCAAGCACTAGGGAGAAGGAGATATGGCAAGCACTAGGGAGGAGGAGACATGGCAACCACTAGAGAGAAGGAGACATGGCAAGCACTAGGTAGGAGACATAACAAGCACTAGGAAGGAGGAGACATGGCAAGCACTAGGAAGAAGAGGAGAAACCAGGCTGGGGGACACGGCCAAAAGCAACATAAGACAAACCGACACTGGGAAAATGGACTAAATGTTGGGCCACCACAACCTTGTTAGAACACCAAAATCCCTGAGCCCAGATACCAGCCCAGGACATGTTAGAGAAGACCTGTGGCCATAGTTATTTATTTGTGATCATCATGGGCCCAAGAGTAGACTGCAGACTGGCTAGGCTTAATGACACTGTGGATAACATGAGAAGGAAATGCCTTGGAAAAGGGGGACCAAAGAAACAGGGTCATCCAACAAGGTGCCCACCGAGGCAGAACTGGTGGCGTGCAGGTAGCGACAAAGAGCCGCCACCGGACAACAAATGATGCACCCCTCTGCCTAACCAAGCATCAACCGCCAAAGAACCCTCCAGAAATTAGCAGACTCCTTCTTCACTAGAAAAGAAGAAGGTTGAAAACAACCAAACCAACCAACAGGGCCTCTGGAGAAGAGCCTGAAGCTCCCAAACCTACAGCCAGAGGTGAGAGTCAACAAGAAGATAGCCTTAAGAAAGATATCAGGCGCCAAAGGAGAAACCATAAACGGAAACAAGGTGTGAAAATTAAAACCTGGTCAAGAGATGAGAATGGCTCAGGAGGAGCACGAGTGGCTGAAAATAAAAATATGCACGAGACAACTTGTGAAAGAGTGTTGTGGAGGTGTCGACACCAAACGCAAGCGACAGCAGCTCCAACAATGCTGAATGGTAAGAGGTGACAGTATCAGGCATGAGATGCCAATTGAGAAATGACCAAGACAAAAAAGACAGGACAGACTTGACTGAAACCAAAGAAAGACAACAAGAGGCATGTAGTTGCCAAATGAGCACTAGGCAACCTCATACTGCTGCCATGAGGTAAGACAGGTGGAACACCAACAAGCCAGCCACCCCTTGCAATACAAATGATGATAAGTCATGGGTCAAAAACTCCAGACACAAATAGCAGAAGAGAACCTTGAACCAATGAAGCACACCACTGGGTTATCTGCTGGAAGAGGCAAAGCCACAAAAAACAGCCAAGCCAGCAGCACCAGAAACTAAGATATGGCTGGCCATCAAGGAGCCAGAAGACTCATGCATGGAATTATACATGAACAAGAATTTCCGATAAATTCATGAAAAAATGGTGACCAATCACGGAGTATGAAGCTCCAGTCGAAAGTCCATACCTATTTAAACACAAGACAATGTTAGAGAAGATTCAGAGGTATGCCACCAGACTAGTCCCAGAGCTGAGAGGTATGAGTTACGAGGAAAGGCTACGGGAATTAAATCTCGCGTCCCTGGAAGATAGAAGAGTTAGGGGAGACATGATCACCACCTATAAAATTTTCAGAGGAACTGACAGGGTGGACAAAGACAAACTATTTAGCATGGATGGTACATGCACAAGAGGACAAAGGTGGAAACTGAATACCCAAATGAGTGACAAGAGACATTTGAAAGAATGTTTTCAGTGTCAGGGTAGTTAACAAATGAAATGCATTAGGCAATGATAAGGTGAAAGCAAACTCCATACACAGTTTCAAATGTAGATATGATAGAGCCCAACAGACTCAGGAATCTGTATACCAGTTGATTGACATTTGAGAGGCAGGACCAAAGAGCCAAAGCTCAATCCCCACAAGTACAACTGATTGTGCTTATGGGGGGGGTCATATATCAGACCCCTATATGGCAGCCAGATCATGCGCCAGCTGACAAAGAATGGTTAGAGAAGCATTCTACTGTTTTAGAAGTAGCTCATTCATTTGAAATGTCTGGACATTTAGGAGTAAATAAGACACTTTGTAAAATACAGGAGCATTTTTATTTGCCAGGTATGGCAGCTGATGTGAAAAGGTATTGTAAGACGTGTCTACTGTGTCAGAGAGCGGGAAAACCTACTCCAGCTCCACTAAAACCCATTCCAGCATTCGGGGAACCCTTTGAAAAGATAATGGTTGACTGTGTAGGCCCCCCTCCCCCAAACCAGGAAAGGGAATGAATATCTATTTACAATAATATGTGCAGCAACACGGTTTCCCGAGGCTATTCCTGCATGGAATATAACTTCAAGAATATTGCTTGACAAACTGCAGCAGTATTTCTCATGGGTATGAATGCCAAAAGTTTTACAATCTGACTTTGGAAGTGTATTTCAATCAAGGCTGTTTTGAAAAAAACATTAAAGGACTGGGATGTGAAACAAGTTCAATCTTCTCCTTATCATTTCTACTGTGGTCTCATTTCATTATGGCTTGGTCAGACATTTTTCTCCCCAGCGTTTTTGTTAGGTAAAGGTATCAGGAAGTATTACTTCGTCACACCAAGGTAGGATTACAAACGGGTAATACCAAAGTTCATATACAGTATATTAAACTGTTGTAGGAGGAACAAGGACAACAACCAAGGGGGTTGTTTGGGGACCAGCATGGCTCCTCTGGTGACGAATTCTGATGGCCAATCAGAATCGCCGGATGAGGCAATGAACGTATGGAGAAACTCGAGCATAAGCAGTACTCCACTGTCTCCAGCAACGCTGACATTAAGTACAGGCTGGCAGTCGATGACGTATTCAGTATTAAGCATTACTCCACTCAGTGACTGTGATGTTTCGCTGCTCAAGGAGTTTAAGAATATCTCCTGATGATGATGTGCCCAGAGTATTAAAATGAAATTAAGGGAGGCGTCAGAGGGAATTACATGAACTCTCCGAACTTATGAATAGTGGAAATAGTCTGGTCAAATGATTGTTCTGTTTGAGACATTAACGGCCTGGTGACGGCAATTGGATTATTATTCTGTGCTTACCTTGTATTTATTTGTTTATTTGGTTTATTTATTTATGTATACAAGAGTTCTTAGATTCTTGTACAGCCATTAGGATGCATAGCGTTTCGGGCAAGTTCTTAATCCTATGTTCCCCAGAATATAGGATTAAGGCAAATCGTTTAACAACCAAATCGTTTAACGGCCAAATCGTTTAACAACCAGGTACCCATGTTACTGTTGGGTAAACAGAGGCTACAGTTAAGGATTGATGCCCAGTAAATCCTCCCCGGCCACGATACGAACCCAGGACAAAGCGCTCGCGAAATACCAGACGAGTGTCTTAACCACTACACCACAGGGACTGCTGTACATACATATATCTGTACATATAGTGTACACAAGTGTTTGCAGATAATAGATAATATATAGTTGCTGTGGCACATTCTTTTCCAAGAATTTTAATTCATGGTCATAGTCAGGGCCCAGCCTAGTAAAGTGTGTCGCACCCGATGATGGGCCAGGCTTGGGAGAAAAATGCCTGACCAAGTCATAATGAAATGAGACCTCAGTAGGAAAACGGATTAAATACTAGCGTACCTTACGGTTTAAATGTGTTGGGGGCTACTCCTGAAAAGGAAGTTTGATCCCAATAGTGAGTACCCAGAGAGCTGACCCAAGCAATGCCATATCCTCAGAGTTGCTCAGAGAGCTCCTTTACAAGGACCCAAATGTGCAAGAGCACTGCCAAGTGTGAAAATGCCTTGTGGTCTTCTGCAATAAGGGTCCTGGACAGTACAGGCAGCTACACATGGAGTTGCCATTTGCCCACATCCTTGGGAAGCACTGGAGCAAACCGACTGCTCTTAGTGAAGCACAAGAGAGACAACTCAGAAATACCTACAAGATGGAGCTCACCTCCTGCCAGTCAAGCATGTGGGTTTGACAGAACTCCTGCCAAGCCCTAAAAGAAAAAGAGAGGGGGGTGTCAGCCGATCAAGATGAACCAGAGACAAACAATCTGTGCCTGAAAGTGGCCAGGTTTATAATGGAAAGGAGATCCATGTTCAACATGAGTTACCGAATCAAATCCACATATCTTGAGGTTATCTTGAGATGATTTCGGGGCTTTAGTGTCTCCGCGGCCCGGTCCTCGACCAGGCCTCCACCCCCAGGTAGCAGCCCGTGACAGCTGACTAACTCCCAGGTACCTATTTACTGCTAGGTAACAGGGGCATTCAGGGTGAAAGAAACTTTTGCCCATTTGTTTCTGCCTCGTGCGGGAATCAAACCCGCGCCACAGAATTACGAGTCCTGCGCGCTATCCACCAGGCTACGAGGCCCCGTATAGATCACAGAAGGTGCCAAGCAAGAAGACAGAGACCAAAAATATGAGGACTGAGGCAACAAATGAGACCTAGAATCAAAACAGGGGGAAAGCAGCAAAGCAATCCAACACGTATATGGAGGGAGGATACGAAAATGATTCCCCTGCGCAAATGACCCTTTACAAAGGGTTGCAAAGTCCATGAAGGGTAGAAAAGTAGCAACTGGAACTCCTCAGGCCCCCCTTGGAAAAGGCCCAGCTACACACCAAGCTTAACCCTGACCCTGGAAGTGAGCCAAAGGCTCACTATTGAGAACATGGATTCATCTATTGAAGGAGAACATGGCAAGTGGTGAAAAGACCCTCTATCTGCATGAGGCAGAACCAACTAAAGCAATCCTCCACCAATGGAACATCCATCACAGGACACAAATTCTCCTGACATATGGGATAATGGAACAAAACTTCAGAACAAAAGACTAACCATTGGCAATGGGGGGAAACAAGCCTAAAAAGCTACTCATGGCAGAAGAGCACCAACCAATAAGAGCCCCTGTTTACATGGGAAAAATCCCAGAACTGCCACTTCTAAGGCAGAGGCCAAAAGCTACTGCAACCAGGGTTGCTGTTCAGTCGAGTTAACTTGGAGATTATTTATCTGCAGCCAATCATTGTTTTTTTTTTTTTTTTTACTTTTCTTCTATTTTGCTTCCCCTTTAGTTTCCAATTAATTTTCTCTCTTTTTGGATTGACCTATAATATCCATGTAGTTTTTCTCACTTTTTGGGTTAATCTTTAAATTGCAAGGCTTTCCTCATCTTGACTAGTGAACCAAATATTGATCCCAGTCTCGGCCAAGCCTGTTGAAGTCCAGAGGTGTGGCAGTACTTGTGTGTCTGTGGTATGAGAGCTGTAAGCCCTGGAGAGCTACAGAGAGGCCACCTCAGAAATACTGTACATGTATATGAAAAGAGTTTGGGTATCACCCTGAATTACCCAAGAAAATGTTACCTTTGAAATTATTTGATGTTCAAATTCCCTAAAAAATAATCACACAGTACCTAACCAATTGGTACAGTTTCGCGAACAAGCCAATCATAAGCCTCCTTGTGTCCTTGCAGTAGTAAGAGCTCTCCCACCTTTTCTCGACATTCAGCATGATAACTGTTAAGCCACTCAATCTGAAAAGAATATATTAGTAATATGAGTATAAATTTAGCATTATACAGATCTATTTATTTGCAAGTAATTTCTGTTCAATGTCTTGGTCACATAATATCCAAAATTGTTTTCACAAAATTATTAACTTAGCAAGGCGAGTCTCTGAAGCCCAGTACTTCAGGCATGAGCAGCACTTAATGCTTAACTCTTACACTGCACAACACTGCATATGAAGTTTTGAGTAACTGACACAAAAGTGCGCATCACTACATATGCAGTTTTGGAGTACTAGGCAAGATTTAAATGGCCCGCAGATATACGGGGTTCACATCACCTTCCTCAGAGCTCTTGTAAACAGACACCATAATTAAAAAATCATGGGCAACATTCCCGGGTGTAAGGGCCTCAGTAATGAGTGAGCCACCAAGGCTGGCGCACGCAGCATGAGCTCACAGCACTGCTGTTCTGATTGTGACCACAGCATCGCGTAAAAATTAAAAAAAAAACCAGCGTTGAATGTAATGAAACGCCATTTTCTGGGTGAGACCCGGAGGCTCCCCGGAGCTTTACCGGCTGATATGCTAATGTCAGACTTTGGCATCAGTCATGTGTATGGAGTTCTAGGGCCTACCGGGGTCCACGGCCAGAACCTGGCCCCCTCAGAGAGGCAAGGGGAGCAATGGCCTATAGAAACCCCCGTGTGGTTGGAAGCATTCTATGTCTGCCATCGACCGGGTCAAGCATCCAGAAAGGTAAGCATTCCAAAACAAACCCCTATTCTGGTGAAAATTGCTACCTAAAGCCGAACTAGTGGATAGAACTCTTCAACAGAAAACAAGGAAACTAGTATGACGTCATACATCACCGCGCCGCTGTCTGTGTAGCTCCCCCCTCCCCAGGAGGGGGAAGGGGGAGCCCCAGACCTCCCACGCCGGCTATCCACCCATCAGTTCTGAGGCTGGATGTCAAAACACGCGAAAAACCGCCGACGGGAGGGAGGGAGGGAGGGTTGCCGGGGAGCCTCCGGGTCTCACCCAGAAAATGGCGTTTCATTACATTCAACGCTGGTTTTCTGGGGGGAGCCCCGTCGGCTCCCCGGAGCTAACTACCCACAGAGGAAGGTCAAAGGGACAGAACCGGGAGGCGGACACCACGCACCCCCCACGGAAGCGAGACAACCAGCAGCAAACGCCAACCCAAGGCGCCACAGCCCGAAAAGCCCCGGGAACAACACGAGAACAACGAGCAGCAAGGGCCCCCGCATGAACACCAAAAAGCCACGCCTGAAAGACCGCAAGGCCACGTCACCCAGATGGCAGCGAGAGCAGCGAAGCCACGAATGCCACAGGCATAAGGGAAGAACGCAGGCAGCTTAGCCGCAAGAACACGGCTGACCACCCGGGACACCATCACCCGCAAACCGGGAAGAACAGAACCGGATCAACGCAAAACGTGCTCCGGACCCAAACGCCGTGGCACGCAAACAACAGCGGAGGGCCGCCACTGAACACAAAACATGACACCCCCCCGGCCCGACCAACGAAGCACCAACAACCCTGGACCCCTCCAGAATGCAGCAGCCCCACCCCGCGCCAGAAAAGATGGAGACTGCTGCCACCAAACAACCAAAACGCTAAAACCGAAGGAGCAAGAAAACCCAGCGACTCGACCCCCAGAGGCAAAGGCCAAAAGGAAAGAGCCAACAAAAAAAAACACCGGAACCGAAAGTGCACTACCAACCGAGGAGAAGACAGAGCACGCTGACCAGAGACCAGGATGGTGCAAGCGGCGCACGAACAGGCCGGAGGTGAAACGACGCAAAAGACAGCTTACTAACGGTGCAGAAGCAACACCAAGACCGAAAGCAAGCTGAAGCGGCTCCGCCAGCGCCACACGAAAAGAGGCGACAGTATGTGGCAAGACGACGGCCCCCAACCCCCACCAGAAAACCAAGCCGAGAGTAAACCAAGATAACAAGAGTAACCACCGAAGAAGGGAGAGGAAAAGGAAGGACCGCCAAAATACCCCATACTGCCGCCAAGAGAAGCACGCAGGTGGGACACCTACCACGAAGCCACCCGACCACCAACCGGAGGCGAGACCGCGAGGCAGAACATAAGGAGCCCCGACAAGGCCCTTCCGAGCCCAGGAAAAAGGCGGAGCCGCGGGAAGATCTCGGGCGCGACCACCGAAACCCAGGCAGCACAAGGAGATGGAACGTCTGCCGAACAGAAAAACTCCCCAAAACATGCAAGCCCGCCAGGAGTTCAGAAACGACGGGTCCGACGCGAGACATCGCAAGACCCCCCCAAAAAAACCAACCGGCAGGGCAAGCTAGGAAACCAAAGAAGGCGGAAGGGTCGCCGCCAGAACAGTACCCGAACCAAGGGGTACGAACAACTGCAATAGACCGAGACAAAGAAGCACATCACAGGACACAGGCTGAAAAACGCCCAAGAACACACGCAGAACACCCCTGCTGCAGATGAGGCAGGAAGAAAGAGCAGAAGCACAAAATCCCCAGGAAAACAACCAGGGGTGGACAATCAGGCAGGGACAGAAAACCCCCACGCAATCCCCAGGCACAAAACAGCAGCAAAATGCCACACCACAACCGGACACAGGAACAAGGACACGCCGCCGTGAAACACGGTACCAATGCACACGTGCAGCAGCAGCAACAGGCACCACCGCAACATGCAACATGTAAATAGCAACTCCCCTCTGCAAAGGCAGAGAAACGGAGCAGGCAGACCCCAGACAGGGCCAACGGAGACACGACAAAACCCAGCAGGCCCAGAAACCTGCACAAGGCGACCGACGGCGGAGAAACACCGCTCGATACCTGCTGGATGGGGTACTGGGAGCTCTTTTACACCCCAAGCCCGGCCCAAGGCCAGGCTAGACCGGCCAGAGGGTGGCCCACCAGGCAGCTGCTAGGAGCGGCCCGCCGACCCACAGACCTCCACAACCAGGATGGGCCGGAACTGCTATACGAAAACAGGCTAGTGTGCCCTGGAAGTCCACGAACGAACCAGCAAGAAGGCTTATGCTGGCAAGTAGGTCGTGTAACAAGCACAGACCTCTGATGGTAATAGTGTGTTCCCCAATTGTGCCAATAGCACCACTGCACTCCACTGGTACTATCCCGCAAGTACTACCAGATAGGCAGGACCCAAGAGCCAGAGCTCAAAACCTGCAAGCACAGCCGGAGCCTTACCAGGTGAGTACAGAACCAACCCTACAACCCCCACACCTCACAACATGAAAAAAGGAGGGTCCCCTGAATGACTCCAGCATGGGTTGGACATGCACATGAGGGGGACAGGACAAGGGTCTCAGTCGTACAAAAAACCAGCGTTGAATGTAATGAAACGCCATTTTCTGGGCGAGTCCCAGAGGCTTCCCGGAGCTATCCCAGGCTGATATGCTAATGTCAGACTTTGGCATCAGTCATGTGTATGGAGTTCTTAGGCCTACCGGGGACCACGGCCAGAACCGGGCCCCCTCAGAGAGGCAAGGGGAGCAATGGCCTATAGAAGCCCCCATGTGGTTGGAAGCATTCTATGTCTGCCATCGACTGGAACAGGCACGCAGAAAGGTAAGCGCCTCAAAACAAACCCCTATTCTGGTTAAAATTGCTACCAAAAGCCGAACTAGTGGATAGAACTCCCCAACCGAAAACAAGCAAACTAGTGTGACGTCACACACTGCCGCGCCGCTGTCTGCGCAGCTCCCCCCTCCCCGGGAGGGGGAAGGGGGAGCCCCAGACCCCCCACGCCGGCTACCCACACCTCAGTTCTTGAGGCTGGATGTCAAAAACGCGAAAAACCGCCGACCGGAGGGAGGGAGGGATGCCGGGGAGCCTCCGGGACTCACCCAGAAAATGGCGTTTCATTACATTCAACGCTGGTTTTCTGGGGGGAGCCCCGTCGGCTCCCCGGAGCTAACTACCCACAGACAGAAAAAGAGGGACTTACCCGGGAGGCGGTCGTCGCTCACCCCTCAACTCGAAGCCGAGACAACTGGCTGCAACCGCCGACCCAAAGCAACACAGGCCCGACGAGGCCCAGGGACATTCACAAGGTAACGAGCAGCCAGGACCCTGTTCGACCGCCAAAATCCCCGCACCCGAATATCAGACCAAGACATATTCCCAAAGACGGCAGCAAGAGCCGCGAACTTACGAACGTCATGGGCACGGGGATAGACCGCAGGCTGGCTGGACCTAATAACCCTGCGGACGACCTGAGAGACCCGAACCCGCGAACAGGGAGAAGGGAAACCGGATCAACCCACAGCACGGATACAGAAGCTGTGGCGCGCAAATAACGGCGAAGCGCCGCAACCGGACACAAAACATGATGCACCCCCGGCTGACCAACCGCATCAACCACCCATGGACCCCTCCGGAACGCAGCAGTCTCATTCTTCGCCAGAAAAGAAGGAGACGGCTGCAAACGAACAAAACAATCACCACGACCAAAAGAGCAGAAACCCCTGCGCGGAGTAGAGCATGAAGCTCCCCTACCCGACCCCCAGAGGCCAAAGCCAACAAGAAAAGTGCCTTGGAAAAACAATCCTGGACCGAAGGGGCCACAACGAAACGAGGAGACGAAAGGAAAGCGAGCACTCTGTCCAAAGACCAGGATGGCTCGATGAGCCAGAGGTGAAACAATGCACGAGACAGCTTGCAAAACGGCGCAGACATAACATCGATACCGAAAGCAAGCTGAAGCGCTCCGCCAGCGCCGCACGATACGAAGCGACAGTGTTAGGCATAAGATGACGGTCCTGAAACAACCACGAGAGGAAGGACAAGACCACCCGAACAGACAAGGAGCTAACACGACGAAGACGCAAAAAGAAACGGAAGGACCGCCAGGAAACTTCATACTGCCGCCGAGAAGAAGCCCTCAGGTGAGACACCAACAAGGAGGCCACCTGATCACCATAGAGACGATGATAGACTCGAGTCAAAAAAACCATACGCGAAGACTCAAGGAGAAGATCGAACCAG